TAAGAATTATTTGGAACACTCCAAATACCTCAGAGGCTCTCTGTATATCGGGGCTCAATATTAATAGTATATACAACGTTTATAAACAGATGTTTTCCACCAAAGTCACCCAACAGGACATGTTTCAGAAACAGAACTTAATAATGGCTATTTTGAGGAAATTAGTTCGAAGACATCACCAACCAATGTCTGATAATCAAGCAATATTTTTCAACCTCATCATGTCCAACTACCATAATTAAACTTCTGAAGGACACCCACTTGGAAAAGGCTGTCTCATAATCAAAATATTACAACTTCTGCACTTTTTCCCCCCAAAGAACGACCCAATACAAGTAATCCTCAACTTAACAAGCACTTGTTCAGTTAACTGTTTTAAGTTACAAGACACACAAAAAGTGACTCATGATCAGTCCTAATGCTTACCACTATTGCAGCACCTACATGGTCACATGATCAAAATTCGGGAGCTTGGTACCCAATATATATTTACAACAGTTGCAGCAGACGTCCCCAACCCCGGTCTGGCACCAGTTCGTGGTATGCTAGCAACCGGGCTGCGCAAACAAGCAAAGCCCTATCCACAGAATGCAGGCAGTATGCAAAACCACGCCCCCTCCGGTCCACAGTTCTTCTTCCATAGAATCGGTCCCTGGTGCCCAAAGGTTGGGGGCTGCTGAGATATAGCACCCAGGTCATGTGACCACCATTTCTGACCTTCCCAGCTAACTCCTGACAGGCAAAGTCAATGGGGGAAGCTGGATTTGCTTAACAACCATCTGATTCACTTAACATCTGCAGGGATTCACTTAACCATGTCATGTAACAACTATCCAACTTAGTAACAGAATGTGTAGTCACAACTGTGGGCATAAGTCAAGAACTACCTGTATTTTACTAATAGCTGCTTTTTAAAAAGGAAAAAGCCATATTCAAGAAAAAGCTACTTGGATTACAAAGTGACAGATCTTATAAATTAGTTCATACAACCAAGATGAAATCCGGAACTAAAAGTCTCTTCATTACTTTCTCTGTTCAATCAACCTCTAAAAGCTAAGCTCTTACAATGCATAAACATATGGTTTGGCAACCATAATTTTTAATAATCATAGTTGTCTTAAGTTCAGACAACTTGCTTACTATAAACATTAGCAAACTATAACACCTGAATTCATGCAACATTGTAAGTTATACACATGATAAGCCTACTGGGTGAATCCATTTATAAATATTATAAATGTGCAGTCCTTTGGATTTCAAGGCAAAAAAGCAAGATCCCAAGAAAAGCCACATACCGTGTTTCTCACAAAATAAGGCCGGGCCTTATTTTTTTTTGACCCCCGAAAAAACGGCTAGGCCATCTTTTCGGGAGTGACTTAATTCCCCCCCCCCTTGCATCCTTGGATGGGCAGGCGGCAACAGCTTGGATGCTGACCTCGGCGTTGGTGGGGCACTTCGTATCGGGACACCTTCCGTCACTGTTGCTTTCCCTTCTCCCTTGCTGCCGTGGCATTTAGAGCAACGCCACAGTGTTTGGCGCAGCCACGTGCAGCCAGCCAGGGCTCCTCCCCGCAACCGGAGCCCGGCGGAGACACTTGGCTTCGGGCGCTCCTGTCGCCGCCTTCCCTTTGCCTTTGAAGGTAAAGCCAATTATTTTAAAAATGACGCCCTACTACAACAAAGCCTCCCCTGCCCGAGAGGGCAGCCCAACCCCACGTGGGGAGGCGAATCTCCCGGGGCCGCAGCGCAGGATCGGCTGACCTCGGGAGAAGCGCCCAGTTGCCATCCCTGCCTGGCACCGGGCAGAGCATGAAGAGCTTCGCCTGGGGCGCCCAGCGCAGCTGACAGGTGGGCCCTCCTTCCCGGCAGCAGAGCTCTCACCAAGTCAGCGAGCGCCTCCCCACCGGACCCTCCGCTCATCCCGCCAGGGCCGCTCCAGAGCCGTGCGGGCTGGGCAGAGCCAAGAAAGCGAGCCGGGGGTGCGCGCCTGCCTGCCAAGCGAAAGAGCCGGGCCGACCTGAGCTTGGCTTCCTTCCCAAGTCCCTCCAGCGCGAACCCAAAGGTGCCACCAAGAGAGGCTGCCCGAGGCAGTGATAGCGCCCACCCGTCCGCGGACAGGGAGGCGAGGTGATGGCAGCGCTGCTTCCCTGGCCGTCGGAGAGAGCCCGAAGCCCCCCATCCTTTCCACCCCTCGCCCAGCCCGTCCCCGTCCCCACGCATTTCCAAATGCGCCAGCAGCTCCAAACGCTGCAGCGGAACGGGCATCAGGCAGAGGCACTGACTCGGTGGGGCTCAGCTCGGAGAAGGACGTGGCGCAGCCCGTTGCCTTGCCTCCCTGTCCACAGGTGGGTGGGCGCTATCACTGCCTCGGGCGGCCTCTCCTGGTGGCCCCTTCGGGTTCGGGCTGGAGGGACTTGGGAAGGAAGCCAAGCTTGGGTTGGCCCGGCTCTTTCGCTTGGCAGGCAGGCGCGCACCCACGGCTCGCTTTCCCAGCTCTGCCCAGCCCGCACCGCTCCGGCGCGGTCCTGGTGGGATGAGCGGAGGGCCCGGCAGGGAAGCACTCACTGCCTTGGCGAGAGCTCTGCCACCGGGAAGGAGGGCCCACCTGTCAGCTGTGCTGGGCGCCCCAGGCGAAGCTCTTCACGCTCTGCCTGGCGCCAAGCAGGGATGGCGGCTGGGTGCTTCTCCCGTGGTGGGCCGATCCTGTGCTGCGGCCCCAGGAGATTTGCCTCCCCACGTGGGGTTGGGCTGCCCTCTCGGGCAGGGGAGCCTTTGTTGTAATAGGGTGTAATAGCGCCTGAAGCCAAGTGTCTCCGCAGGGCTCCAGTTGCAGGGAGGAGCCCTGGCTGGCCCCGCATGACTGCGCCAAACACCGCGGCGTTACTGTAAATGCTGCGGCAGCAAGGGAGAAGGGAAAGCAACGGTGGCAGAAGGTCTCCCGATACGAAGTGCCCCACCAACGCAGGCAGCACCATATCCGGGTATGCAACAAAAGTACTTCATAACGGCAAGCCCCCCCCCCCGCCATTCCCCCCCCATTTCACATGTTTAATATGGGCCTTAATTTGGGGGGAGGGGCTTAATTTGATTTTATGCCAATAAAACATGGTGGGGCTTCCTATTGGTGGAGGCCGTATTGTTGGAGAAACACGGTAGTTAGTCCTCGACTTACAAGTTTAGTGACTATTCAAAGTTACAACGGCAGTGAAAAAAGTGACTCATGACTGTTTTTCACTTACAACTGTTGCAGCATCCCCATGGTCATATGATCAAAACTCAGGTGCTTGGCACCTGACTCATGTTTATGACCATTGCTGTCTCCCAAGGTCATAGGGTCACCTTTTGCAACCTTCCGACAAGCAAACTCAATGGAGAAACCAGATTCATTTAACAACCATGTTACTAACTTAAGAACTGCAATGATTCACTTAACAAACATGACAAGAAAAATCATAACACTTAACATCACTTAACAAATGTCTCACTTAGCAACATAAATTTTAGGCTCAATTGAGTTCGTAAGTTAAGGACTACCTGTATTTGGTTTGAAGTAATGCAGACAGAATGTGTGCCTAGGATATAAAACACACGTTAAGGTACCTTTTTGCTTTCAAATCCAAAAAAGGCTGCACAGCTTAACAGGTATCAAGTCAGTATGTCAACGAACATAGACGTCATAAACAAGATCCATATATATTTAGCTTTCTACCTAAAAACCTAAAAAAAAATCTTTTTTTAAAGTTGATCAAGACATGATAGGGTAAAACAGAGTCAGCTGGCAGGCTGCATTCAGCATTACGGACCTTAAGAAATTAAAGCAAATTGAATATCAGAAAAATGATGTTTTTCCTTTTCCATCTTTTAATATGCAATGATTTTCACCCATGAGGAAACACGAATCCATTCCCAGATCCAATGAATTTAAACAAGCAGGTAGAGAATTTGACCTTGGATTGTAAATAAAGCTTGTTCAGATAAATAAACCACAAGTAACACAGCAAGTTCTGCTCTTTCTGACAATCTTCAGACTTTTTTAGATCTCTATACCTGTATTTTTACTTTGACCCAGAACACTTTTACAAACCAGCATAGAGCATTTTGTAAATGAGAATTAGTTCCATCTAGAAAAACAGAAATATTTAATCTTTCGTGTGTGTGTGTGTGTGTGTGTGTGTGCAGAGAGTGTGTGTGTGTGTGTGTGTGTGTGTGTGTGTGTGTGTAGAGTGTGTGTGTTTGTGAAAGGAGCATTCCCCTAATTTTCACTCAGGTGCCTCAATAAACAGGTACAGGTAGTAGCTGATGCTTTCTCTCCTAAAAGTGAAGTAGTAACTTTTCTGGCCTGCTTTTCTTATTGCAAATTTGGAGGGGGGGGGGGGATGAGAAAAAAGATTATTTGTTCAGATAGTAGAGAACCCTTCAACATGGCCTGACCCACAAGTTTCTTCAGACAACCTTCACTCCTTGGCCATGAGCCTCTGAAGAAATGACAGAGTAAGACAACCAGAGTAAAGGCCAATCAGGAGGTCTGTTTTCTCACAGATCTTCTGCACCCACTCTTTCTTCAGAACCTTTCCCTGCTCATGTTTCTAACCTAATTATAAACAGACTGGAAAATGTAGACAAAAGGGATCAGAACTCAGGACATTTCTGATCCATTCTTGGAAATCTTCCAAAGCTCCACGAAGTAACACGGACAAAGATAAAGCCACAGGGATCCATCAGGCGATCACACTTTTCCCCCTAGAGTCCCCACCGGCCGAAGCCAGATTTTTCCCCACCTCACCGACGAGTGGTACTAATAAAATACTCATAGGTTAACTATTCCACCATACTAAAGACCCGCCAGAGTAGGAGAGCAGATCTTCCCATCCCATTCTCTCCTCAAACAGAAGGAGCGAGCGATCCCCTCACTTCGTGAAACCCAGGAAGCGGCACGGTAACGGATGATTCACACGCTCCTCTGAACACAAAAACACGCCTCCCATTCATTTCTCACCCACCTGCATAGAAACGGATGAGGCAACCGGTCTCCGAGTCCATGCCCTCCTCCTGCACCCGCCACAGGTCCCGGAAGCCCAGCTGCGAGAGGTAGTCGTTTTGAATCTGCAGGGGCTTCTCGTGCGATTCCAGCCGGCGGGCAGTCTCTCCGTGGAGCTGGACATACAAGGCCGGAGGCTGCTGCGGAGAGGCGGCTTCCCCAGCAGGAGAGGAACTTCCCCGCAGAGCTTTCCCCTTGCCCGAAGAGTCCCCCGAGGCACTACGGCCTAGCCGGGATTCCGGCCCGTGCACCGAAAACGGGTCGCCTGGCCGGCGTGGCTGGTTCCTTCCAGGCCCCGATCCGGCTCCTTCTTCCTTGGCCGCGGGTGGCGGCGCAAGATCCGCTTCCGATTCTTCCGAAGAAGAAGACGAAGAAGAAGAGCCGCCGCCTCCGCTGTAAGGATCCAAGCGATCGGAGGCGCTTTCGGCGCTGGGGCTGAAGCTCTCGGTATCCGACCCTCCCAAGAGGGACGGGCAAGAGAGCGGCGGGCCGGACAGGTAGAGTTCGGGGCGGGGCGGCGGAAAGGCCCGTCCGGGGCTGCAGTCGGAGGGGGAAAGGCTGGGCTGCCCACTCGCCCGGCCGCTCTCCCCTCCACTGAGAGCCAGGCGCCTGGGCCGAACAGCCGCCGCCTCGCCGGCTCCCAAGCCGTTGGGGGCCCCTCGCCGGCTTCGGGGCCTTCTCCCGACTGGGATCGGGGTTAAACTTCCCGCCGGAGAAGTTGGAGCCTCCGCGGGCTCGGGCAGCGCCTCTTCTTTCCCGCCGAGAGAAGCCGATGCTGGTTGTAGGAGCAAATCATCCGCCGCCGCCGCCTCTTCTTTAGGGAGCAGCGGAGCCTCGGCCGCCGCCTTCCCCCAAACCCGGACAGCGCTACTCCCGCCTCCCCGGTGCCCGAGCTGCAGCAAGCGAAGCGCCACTTCAGCGGCGGTGGTCTCCAGGTTGCAAAGCACCGGGAGCAGAGAGCAGCCGCCGCCGCTCCCCCGCTGTTGCTGCTGCTGGGGATAGTAATAGTAGACATGGACGCATCCTCGCTGTAGGTCCCGCCGCACCCAGTCTCGCTCTGGGGCTTGGAGAGGCTGGAGCTGCCGGGGAGGCTTGGGCAGCAAAAGCAGCGTCTTCCGATCTAAGCTGCGGGTCCCCAGCGCGGCGGCGGCGGCGATCGGAGCGGCGGGGGAAGAAGCCGCCGACAGATTCCGCTTCAGTCTGCCTCTCCGCAACAGGAGGGAGTTGGCGCCGTTGCCGGGAATAGCCGCTGCCGCCGCTTGAGTCCCGTTGGCCGCTAGCGCCAACGAAGCGCCGCAGCCGGTGGCCGCGGCCCCTCGTTTCCTTCGCCGGTGGTGGCCGCCGACGAGCCCCGTCCTCGCGGCTCCTGCGACGGCGGCTGTTCCTTTGCCCCCTTCCAACGGGCTGGGTCTTCCTATGCCGGGGCCGCTCTCGATGCCGGGGGCGGCTTGGCCCGGGGAGCTCGGCCGCTTCCCCTTGCCGATCCTCGGGGCCGGCGTTTCTCGGCTTCCAAGCTGGGGTTGCTGCGCAGGTTCCATCGTAGAACGGCCGGGCGAGCCGCGTTCCGAAGGGGGGAGGGGGCGCGGGATTATGTAGCAACAGTGAACATTCCGTCGGTGTCTCAGCGTTCCATTCGGCTCAGCCTTGCCGCCGCGCAGCTGCTGCCGTTGTCGCGAGCGCCATTAGGGACTGGAGAAGAGACGGGCTCGGCGGCGGCGGCGGCAGCAGGCGGCAGTCACCGCCTCCTTCCTCCTTCCTCCCTCCCACCCGGCGTGGCCTCTCCTCTCCACCCCGAGGCTCCTTATGAATATTAATTAAAGCAGGCCTCATACGAAGGGTGTCATTTTCTCCTTGCCTCCCTCGCTCCCCCGAACGCCGTTCGAGCGCCTTCTTAATATTCATGAGGAGTGACGACATCCCTCGTGAGTTAGGAAAGGGCGGGGCTCCGGGGGTAAACAAAACGTGATAATTTGCGCCCAAGATGAACGGTGGGAAGAAATCGACCGACGAAAAGGTTGCTGGGAAACGTAGTTCCGAAGCTCAGCTCTGCTTCCCGAGATCTCCCAATGCTGACTACATGTCCCTTCGGCCGTCTCGCTCACTTCGTTGGGCGGGAGAGAAAAGGCAGCTTCCTCGGGTTTCCTTCCTCCTTTATCTGCTCTCTCTTTTTTGGGCTTGTGGTGTCCCGCGTGTAGAATGTGGTGGCGTCAGTTGTCCTTTATTTTTCCTCATCCCTATTTGACCTCGACCTTTACATATAGTTCCCTAATTGTTGAGGTTTACAGATACAAACGTTTGCACGTAGACAATAGTGGCGAATATCTGTAGCTCGGGTGTAGGAGGGGGGAAAATACTCATTTGCACGTTTATTATTTGCAATAAGAGCATATTTGCTTTCAATATCCAGGTACTTATGGTACTGTACTTTACCAGCATTGAATTCACTGCTCATTCAGAGGACGTTTTATTGCAGTTTTGATTCTACAAATTTCCCAAACTCGGACTAGAATGCTATTGGGGTGGGTACTAAAAACATTCCTGTATCCAAAGCAAATAGGCTGGCAGGAGTTTGCCCGCTGTATCTCTCTGATTCTCTATAATTAACTGCTCTGGCTTTATTTACTTCAGTCAGGAAGTTCATCCAAGTCAGAACAGTGACTCAAAAATATAGGAAGTTGCCTTTCTGAGTCAGACCATTGACCCATCTCACCTAAGAATGTCAAGGCAATTCAACAGCAGTTCATTAGATTTTTCCACAATTCCTTCTCTCCACTGGGAAACGAGCTTATAGCTGAAAACTTCAACATACAGTACAAAATATGTATTTTACTTTACCTACAGTATATTTAGGTGGTGGCCACTTCTGCCCAAGGTTGACCTTTGCACCATACATAATGAATCTATGGGTCTGGTCCCATATTAAGAGCTTGACATTTGTGTCCATTTATCAAATCCTTTCTAAGGATCTGAATAGGCAAATGTAAATAGTATTAATGGTATGATCACAATATGTGAGCTGTTCCAGGTAAAGCTGCCTTTTGCAATTGATGCAAAACTGATTTTGTCAATGCTAATGGTGTTCAAGTGGTGCACCAGTTGTTTTGTAATAGGACCCAAGGCAGCTATTACTGTAATGTCCACTATCTACTTTTTTCTCTCTTATCAACAGTTGATAAGCCTTGGATATTATATGGCAGGTGTTTGAATTCTAAAGTTTCAGAGCAGTTTACCTTCTTTATTTTCTATTACTTTTATCTATTTTGGCCTGTCATTATTTCTTGCTTGCAGGCAAATGATATTTCTTGCAGATCTTCCAATGCACCATTGTTACTACTTTGTAATGCCAATGTCTGCGGTCAGTCTGTGATCTTCTTGCAGCAATGACCCAAGTAGTTTCTATACCACAGTTTCTTCAGTTTCTTTTCAGATGCGGCATTTGCTGTCGCTGTCTGCTCAATTCTGTTTTTGCATTTGTTCTTAGGGCTCGCTATTGTGCAAACAGAATTATCCCCTCTGTCTCTTTCTTCATCTTTCTGGCTCTTAACCATTGCCAGGACTTGTTATCTGTTTTGCCTTCTAATTTTTCTTTGTGTACTAGCTTTGCCTTACAATGTGTCTTTTCTATTCTTCATTTGGTCTTCTTGTAGGCAAGTTTGATCTGTACAGTATTCTATAAGCTTACATGATGTGCTAGTTTCAGTGCATCTTCTTGTCCTTCAGATATTCTTCCAATACCTTTTCTTCTTCTTCAACTGTCTTTGTATATGCATACACCGGGCAACATTAAGCCACCCAGAGTCACAGTATATGAGATGGGTAGCATAAAACCTTAATAAATAAATAAATAAGTACCGTAAACATTCTACACCCACCTATGCTCCTTGGTAAGAAGAGTCTGTGTGTGTCACTGAGTGGATGAAGGGCATGATTCATTTTTATTATTTTTTAAAAATTCTTTTAATCCTGCTCTAGTCCAGTGCACTATGCCAGCTGTATATCTAATTGCTGGAATTGCCTAGGTGTTAATTGTCTTGGTGATATTTTCTTCACTGACTTTAAGATCTTCATTCTCATGATGCAATCACTATTAATCTTCTTGACTTCAGTGTGCTTGATATTGTCATTTGAAGGTGTCCAGATATTTTGTGATGCTCTTCTTCATCCAGACTCTTGATAATTCCATGGTGCATCTTTATTTCTTCCGTTTTCACTACTTTTTCCCTGTTGGTGGGGGTGACACATTTGTCCAGTCCAACCCAAACACTATTGCAATATCTTGGCTGAATATAAGGATAGCGTTGAGCAGCAATTCTATTTCAGAGCATGTTTTTCCATGCAGCTTCAGATCGTGTAAAGGAGGTGAGATAGATGTTTTTGAATAACCATGGCATGACTTATTTAAGTATTGTTGACAGAGGAATCAATGCAATGACAAACAATTGTGGTAATAATGAGCCTCCTTGAAAGATTCCTCTCCTGATATTAACCAGTCATCATTGACCAGCAACTTCTTCCATTGTGCCATTCATCTTTGCACAAAGCTTCTGATGTTTCTAATAACGTTGTTGTTGTTGTTGTTGTTGGACACACAATCAGCCAAATGTTTAGACTGGGTTACAGTATTTTGATTTAAAACTGATCCTCAATTACTCTAGGCCAGGGCACTCAAACTCATGGCCCACGGGCCGGATGTGTCACACATTGGCCACGCCCAGTTTAGTGAAGGGGGAAAACGTCACAATACATCACGTAACACCACTGTTGACAACACGAGTTTGACACCCTTGCCCTAGGTGCTCAACAATCAAACAAATTACATGAAACCAATAAAAGATAAAGATAAAAGATGGCAAGCATAATGGCATGAATGGTTTCACTCACCCTCACCAAGGCCTGGATGAACAGCCAGGTCTTCCCAGCTCCCCTAAACAACAGCAGAGTGGGAATCATAAAGAAGTTTATTTCAGAGCAGGTGTTGCTACGGAGAAAGCATATTTCTGGAATCTGGATAGATGACATAGTTTTCAATTGAAGAAACCCAGAGCACACCAACCCTGCAGGATAGAATCTGCCATGATTAAAATAACAAAAGAGATAAATGAACCAAATAATAATTGCAGCCATAGGATAGGAAAACAACAGCCAATGCTGGAATATTGACAATGATTCCATTGAACAATATATATGATGCCAGATCATGGGGAAAAATAATCATAAAAAAGTACCAGCAAATAATCAGCATATGCATAACATTCATGTTGAGTGCAGAACTGGTTTCTGTACTATAGCCCTGTCTTATTCCTTGTTCCCTGTTTTGATCCAGGTACCACTGATTAATTTGCCAAACATGACTCTTGAAGCAGAGGGGAATTGTTCCTCTCTTTCTCCAGAGGAAGCTGCTCTTAGTGATTGATTAATAACTGCAGCTTTTGCCTGTGGCTGTGCGTCTTCCCTCCTACAGGCTCTCATTCTGTAAAGGCTGCAATGAAACCTTGTGCCAAATGCTTGTTCAGAAATGCTACATTCTGTCCTAAAGTGAACGATGTTGGCAGGAAGCTACCAACATTATCATTGGAAGGAGACAGAAAATAACTTTTCCTCCAACAAGCATTCTAAATATGTTTTCAGTCAGCAAACCTTGACGGGCTGCACTTAATGCAAAGGCTGGTTGCAAGTGTCAGTGCACTCAGTTGTATAAGCAGGAGCAATACCATGCAAATCACAGGCAACTCAGGTTTTCTGCCAAAGGGAGAAACAAGAAGCAAAAGATCTTACTATCACCCCCTCCAGTTTTCTCTTTTAACTATTAGAGTGGAAAGCTTTAATCAGCAGTTACTAATCTAAAGCTGCAGTTCATTAATCAGTGCGAGTCGGTTTTAATCAATGAAGCTGGGAATTAAGTACAAGTATTTGTAACGTGGTTCACATTTCTTAGCATAAAACAGGGTTTCAAATTTTCAACTGAAACAGTCTCTTCACACACGGAATAACAACTTGTTTATTAAATAAAGCTTATCGCAGAAAGATACTTAAATAGAGATTTGCTGTTCCTAATAAGTCCTAACAATTCCAACTCAGATAATGTTTCTCCTTATGTGTTTTATAGTTCCATGTATGGTAACATTTCCATCAGAACAGTGGAGTCTACGGCTGTATTCATACACTGTGCTAAACCACAACAGCCCTAGCATAGCATCTAAATCCAGAAGTTTCCAAGCTACAAGAGAGGCAGCTTTGTTTCCAATAGCCAAAGTTAGTTGTTATACCCTACTACCGTGTTTCTCCAACAATACGGCCTCCACCAATAGGAAGGCCCAGCATGTTTTTGGGGCATAAAATCAAATTAAGTCCCTCCCCCCAAATTTAGGCCTATCTTAAAATATGCAAAATAAGGGGGAAGGGCGGGAGACTTGCCGTTAGGAGCGCCCGGCGGGCAGGAATTCCTCGCCACCAGCCGCTCCTAACGGGCGATCATGGCGAAGCACGGGGAGCTCCCTACTCCCACCAAACACCTTTGCTGCAGACACCTTTGGCAACCGCCGCTGTTGCTTTCCCTTCTGCCCATTCCGCCGCCACGTTTGGAGCTGGCGCTTCCGTGATTGGAGTGCCGCCGCCATTTGGAGCTCCAAACGCGGAAGTGGCAGCTCCAAACATGACGGCGGGCGATCTTTTTATTTTGGTCCGC